CCTAAAGCCCCGCAACTTCGAACCATCAGTGGAAACCATTCGTTAGCGTTCCATGTTCCAGTCTTCCCTCCGCAAATTTGCCCGACTCGGACGATGGTAGGTCTCAAAGACGTATGCTCCGCGGCCCTGAGTAAGATCTCCTCGGATACCCATTTCGACTGGACGTATCCATTTCCGATCGCCACCTCGGCCGCAACTGGGACCTCGGGAATAGGCTGGGTTCCCTCGTAGTCTGTAGGAATCACTATCAACGGGGAAGACACGCTAGACCTTCAATGAACGTACGCCGTAAAATTCCCACGGAACTGGTGAAGACTAGCTTAGAAGGCCGAGCAGTGGAGAGGGCCAGATCGACAAGTCGACGAAGACCTTTAATATTCGGCTCAAAGGACGCTAGAGCAAGGTTGAAGTCGACACGCCACGCTACACGATGTCGTAAACATGCGATTTATCTAGGATACGAAGCACACTTACCATTGTGGATGATATGCGTCAGAGAGTGTCGAATCTATTCGAAATGAGTGCTGCGCAAACCGCATGAGTAGCGTCGGGCAGAACACACCTCGTCATAAGTAGCCTCCTGCAGACCGAGCCATTCTTCCGCCGTATCTCCTTCTAGGAGAACGACCCTCTTCAACTCAAGAAGCGATGAATTGAGTCCACGAGACTCAAAAGCTTTTCTCTGCCTCTCTAGGAGAGTGCCAGTGCCATCCGTCACTCTGTTCAGTGCATATATCTTCGACACCTTCGAATCTTCGATCAAGCTACTCAGGATGAAGCAGCCGAGGCTCCCAGTGGTACCGGTGACTAGAACGACATCTCCGTCGAGCTTGATGACATCTTCCTGGGAAACCGCAGTCCCTGGCTTCAGATCGGCAGTATACTTCTCCGCCATTCTCCGCATAGTGTCCGCCTTCGCTGTAGGCGAATCGTCCACCCCTCCATAACTACCAGACACCAGGGAGTGCACGAACTCTGCGAGCTGGGTTATAGACGGGTTCTCGTAAACGAAGCTACCCGAGATGGCACGAGTGTCGAGCTGCGCTGAGTCCCGCAAGGCTCGAAGTATGGTGTTTCGTATCCAAGTGGCTTGCAGACTGTATGTTGTCAGACTACGCTCAATGACTCCTAGCAACTGCTGTTCTCACCTGTCGCAACCGTTTTGGAATAAGTCATCGTCGTCTTGCACGGAACTCCGCAACACTTTTCCGACGACCTCCCGCACAAAGTCAGTGGTAGCGACTAGGTCCCAGACTTCCGGAGTAGGGATAGACGACTGCGTGCTCTCTGCGACGGTATCGTACAAAGCGTTGATTTCATCCTCATAGTCGTTAATCACTGCTTGGCGACGGGCAGTGTTCTTCGCAGTGTAGGTGAAGGGCTTGTCGGGCTTCGCAACTAAAATCATCTACATCCAAGATTGCTCCAGCGATGATAAGAGGTCCGGCGACATATGCGTACCTCCTTGAATAATCGGGAGTGCTGTGGGGCAAAGGCGTTCATCCTCTCGATTGTGGGCCTACGACCGTTAACATTCACTTCCACATGTACATGCGAAAAACACATACCATATCTTGTTCCTAAATTCTGCAACCTGCTTCTCGTTGGCCGGATCAAACTTGAACTGGGGCTTAGGGTCCACTAGAACGCCTGCCTGGAAGCGAGCACGCCCGAACATGACACTTGCTTGTACGTGCGGATCTTGGTTCAGCATGCTCTCTACAAGCTTTATTATTGGATATGAGCCACGGAATGTAGATGGTGATCATTACCTAGAGGTCCCGGATTGGTCTGTAGCAATTGTTAACCCAGGGTCATCAAACTTTCATAGGCAGAGATACATACCTTCTCGCCTGTGCTATGCATAATCTGGTCATCTACCCGACCAAATACTCTCCAAAACCCAGGTTTAGTCGGATGGGGCACGAGCAAGTCTGACGTAGCATATGCGTCGATGCCGTCTACTTTGGTATTGACAACGTTGGTTTGAGATCTTTCCGAACACTGCCCTTGACGCTGTGAGAATCCGCACCAGGTGCATCCACGACAATAAGACGTACCACGATGACGAACTCGTACGTGTTGTCGCCGAATGGCTCCATATGTGCCTTGAGAATAGGAGACAGTTTAAAGTATTCCCAATCAGCACCAGGCTCAGCAGCTTCAACGTGTGATCAGTCAAGAACGTCCATCGAACTGTGCTGCTTACCTGGCAACATCACGCTCATAATTCCACCTTCTGTGCTGTGTCTGATCAGCTGCTGATTGAGATCATGATGTGGGCATGGGCCTCACCATCCGTACTGAACGAACATCTTAACCCCATGAGCCGTCATGAAGTCACCGACCGTTTTGTTGAGTGGACCACCACCGAACAGCTGCAGTACTTTATTCAGTACATATCATATGCCTTGATCCGCAGAACTACCTACGACACCATGCCGCGTAGAGAGCCATTTGACACTGTCAGGATCCCTGGACCACGCCTAGGGTCTTTCAGAACATGTCTAAAACTAGTAATGCTGGTCTGTAACTTACCTCGATCACAGCGGGAACAGAGAACAGGTAATCGCTCCCACTTGCTCTTGCCGCGTCAAGAATAGCTTTGGGTGTTGTTGCCAGTACATGCCCTCCAGGCTCGAAGGTGCTCATTACCAACCCGCACGATGCCTAATTGACAAGTAATCACGTTCGCTACACAGGCCAATGAACATGAGACATTCAAACGTACCGTCCAAAGCATCAGTGCCATACCCATGCCGTGAAACATCGGCATCATGTGCATGGAAAAGACGATGCCAGTCAAATCTTGTTCGCCGTAGAAAGGGATCATGCAGAACAGCAACATCCGATGGTCTGTATACATGATTGGCTTCGGGAAGGCGGTCGATCCTAAAATGTCAAATCAGGTCTAGTCCGCGAAGAGCTCGAAATAGACTCACCGGAAGAATGCAAAAACAGCACGGGAGAGTCTGGACCTCTGTACTTGAACGGCAAGACGCTGGTGAGCGGTTCCCCCTGGTCACCTTCGACGAACAGTTCGTCGAAGGCAGGCATGTGCGAGGTGCCCGGAACTGCTGTGTCTTGGTACTGGGCTCTCAGGAGATGAAGGGCCCCTTCAACCAAATTCTGCATAGCGTGGTCACGTCCGACGAGGATGTGCTTGATATTCGCCTTATGGATGAGATGGGCAATGGCAGCCGGAGAATTTCGCGGCGATATAGGGAACACAATGTGGTTCGCGCGCATGATGCTGACCTCGGTGATATAGTAGGGTATGACATCTATTCCGAGTACCCAATGTAGTCATTGAACGAACGATCGACTAGGCGGACTTACCGGATGCTGCAACAATCCCAATTACGGCCCTATCTTCCGTGTCCGCATCCGACCCCATCCTACTCGCGATGATCTTTGCGCCTACATGGATCGCACGCGCAGCTTCAGGGTAGAGGATCTCACGGACAGACCCGTCACCACAGGGGAATACGAATACCCGATGTCCGGGGTTGTGGATACCATGCCAATCATAGAGCTCTGGGAACGATACCGATCCGTCCAAGGGCGGGAGACGGAAGGTAGGGCTGGAGAGAGCCTGAGTCTCAGGAGCGGGGGGAACCGCCCGTCGAGTCGGCATCTTTGCAATCGATGAAGTACTGCGACTCTATGATAGCTTACTTATATATGAAAGCACGCCTTCATAATGCGGAGAAACCTCTCTCCCGATGTGCACGGAACATGAGTACAAGTGACTGCTGTCTGATGCGACAGAACCAAGGTGATATGATGATGATGAACTCTGCATTTGTATCCCGCTACAAGCAAACTCTATGGTGCTAAGACGCGGCGGGCGCCGGCCCGCTTCCACGGGGGCGCCCCTGTCGACTCCGAGTCCAAGTATATACGGTGTAGTAAATCTATGTAGTAATGAGGGGGTAATCTTTAGAGTCTGAGGCTGGGTTCGTACGGGGGCGCAGATGCTGCGCGACTTCGAGAGAGCGGCAGAACCAAGGAATGATCAAGGAAGAACACACCAGTCCTCCACTCACATGCGTCGACGTTAGAACTGCACAGTCACGGCGCACGCACATAGCGTAGGAACTGATGAGGTAAGCTCCTCTTGCACGAACACTTTGTGTCTGGTCTTACCGGTCTCAGTGCGACTCGGACTATTAATTACAATTATCACTCACTTGAACTATCCTACGCATGTTTTGGGTGCGCACCCTCTTTATCAACGCTTTCCGCCGCATATGGTCTGTTTCTAACCCAACAGAAGTAACACAGACGAATCACGACGCGTGTCAAGCTCGCGCAGCCGCTGGAGGTCAAGTCGAGCGATGTATATACACGGTATAGTGATATTCACGATCCCACTTGACCGTTTATTGCTGCCTCCTGGTACTTACTATACCGTACTCCGGGTAACATCTACAGTGGATGCCACCACTCATGTAGAATAGATAATCACCCTTGGATCTCAGACGTGCCAAGTCCCCTTCAACGGCCGTAGATGCTCGCTTCGACACTGGTCACCGGTCTCCGGCTATGACACCCTTTAATAAGTGATTGAAATGTTTAAATCAGACTCCTATCTGTGACCGCATGCGCTGCACTCCACGATTCACCGTTGTCTGGTTAGTTCCCTGACCTCTGTTGTGTCTTGGTTTGCCTCACTCCAGCTGTTCCTTGCCCCTAGATATTCTACACTCTATTTGTGGAGAAATTGGTGTGCATGTTATCTGTGAATCCTGGTTTGGACATTGATACTGGATTTAACCTCCACCAGGACCCCGCACTACACGATTAGTGAATCACCAACCACGATGCTAGCTGCCCTTTTGGCCTACCCATTGAGCTTTCGTGCAAGCGGAGACACCCCGGCAGGATAGTTATCGTTTTTCAAGTGCTCAATGTATCATCGCTCACAATCTCGGTGGGCAGCAGGGCAACGTCCTATGATCCTAGCAGGAATTACGACGGGAGGAAAAAAGAGTCAATGTTCCCGGAGGGAGTCGAGCCCTCGTCTCCACGGTTTTGCACCCAGAATTCTCAGGTACCACAACGTGATGATCTGACCACTAATCGACGGGAACCGTTAGAAGTACGTGCTGCCCTCGAAACATATGCAGGCAAGCCGAGCGCCCCTCTGATTGATGCACTGGTGTACACAGGTTGTGCCGAACCGGCATCTCCTTCATTCCGGCCTCGGCGGGTCCTTCACGCGCCCAGAAGTTGGTGTGTAATAATGCGTCTCCCCTCTTTTCAAGCACGAGTGACGAAATAGATGCCTGATGAAAGAACTCTAAGACAGAGGTTGGACTGAGGTGGGGCGCGATCACTTTCCTTATTCAGACGTGCACCGACTCGGTGGCGTTCAATTTCCCAGGGAGAGCATTCCTGAACCGAAAACACCCCTCTATCTTGCGAAGGAGTATGGCCAAATCAAGCCTTCTGTATCCTTGCGGCATGAATCATTCACCCTCCCGAAATATTCAGCTGATTTCGATCATATTGTTATAGCGTTTGGCCGAGGTCACTGGCGCCCTTGAAGACAAGCCACGGCAAGTTCAGACAAACACTTTGCTTGTATGCTTAGACTGATGTGCAGCCCACGCCCTATGATTTCAAATTACCCCAGGATTTGACTTTGCTACAGTCACTTTCGTCCGTGTTGAGTTCAAAGCTTATGCGTCGGCGGCACCGTGTCTGAGACTAAAAGGCAATGTTTCCAGAGCAATCGAGCCCTCGTCTCCACAGTTTTGTGTTTCACATTCGAGCACCACAACGTGACGATCTGACCACTCGTCAATGGAAACACATGTCAGAGTGTGTTTTGGCTTCAGCATTTGCAGGCATGCCTCTCTGACATCAACACAGCTTACCGCCGACGCAGCAGCACGAGACCATCCCCCTCTCCACAACCAGGTCAGTAACCTAGAGCAGGGCGTTTTATTTATATCTTCTTGCTCTCATGGTAGGGGGTAGGGGCGGCAATCCCCAGGGATTACTTTCCAAGCGAGCTTATTCTAGGGTCGCTCGTCGCCGTGATGCCCTGGCAGCAAACGCGATGCCGACTCGAATCGAATATGTTGGTGAGTCGCAAACTTCCGTCCGCATAATGCCGTTGGCATCTTCTCGGATGTGTTCATACCACAAGGCTCATGTGCGGCAAATAAATGTAAATTACGCAACGTTGCCATTGTCTACAGCGAAAGTATTATAATTTGAAGTTTAGGTCACTTACAACCGGTCTCAAATTCCTCGTTCTAATCGGTCTCTCGGACCACTAGCGACCAGTATCGCAGAAAGAGAACATTCCCTAACCCGAGTGAATAAACCCTAACCACGTACGCTAAGAACATTCTGAATGAGTCCTATACGCTAGGTTTCTGCCATTTACGCAAAGTCATTGCCATTTCTGAGGGCAGGTCATGGGCTCCTGGAGTTTTGTGACGACCACGTCGCCCTCAACACCCCAATGTCAGCACCGCCAGACCTCACTTCAATTGTATATACAATGGCTGTACTCAATTCGAAGAGTACGATGCATGTCGGAACTAGGCTCGTATCTGCATCAATATTAAACGGTGAAATATTATATTTGTTAGAAGTGCATTGCCCTGCATGATTAGGTACTTCGATGTTCGGTGTCACAGGCTTTCTATCACAACATACTCGCAGTTAATCAGTTCTCTTAGCCTATATCTTGGGCTGCAAACGTGAAAAGCGAGCCATCCTCGGGCGAAGGACTCCCATGCGTCTCGCACAGGCCCATCACCGAGACCCCTTCGGATACGTGCCACAAGTAAGACAGTTTCGTCGACGATCTCTTGAAGTGTCTCTTCTCTCGTCTTCCCGCACGCTTTCGCGCGATCGCTCACGTAGTTTCCCGTCTCTCCCGCCAGTTCTTCCTTGTAGAACGACAGGATATCACTGCAAAAGCACTGATCAGTATTCTCACGCTGAAGCTACAATCACATTTTTGTACTTGGCATGATTTTGGAAACTAGATATGTCCCTGCTGATAGTCAGTATGTGCACAATTAAACCAACTAAGGAACTCACGGAATCGCTTGTATGTATGAAGCTATGTCAGATGAGCCCGCCTTCGTCCAGATGAAGTACGAAAACGCGTCAGCTAAACCAGACATGGCACGCCGATACGTAATGAACGGTAGTGCATCCGGTGGATGAACGGCGCGACAACATATACCATCCATGCGCTCAAGCATGCAACCGTTGATAAACTGCAGAACAGCCGAGAAGACCGTGCCCGCGGAGAATCCAGGGTAGCTCTTCCACATCCCAGAGAGGACTTCCATGAGCCGGGCGAGAACGTCACCTCGCAACTCGCCGGCCCGATGGAACTGCCCGCAGCATAACCGCCTGTGGAAATCACGGCACCCAGACGCGTCGAAGATTTTGGGATCGTCGAGTGCGATGACGAGCGTACTGAACAATACGATGCGCAACCTTGCCTCAGGATCGGCGATGTGGGAGTAGCAGGTCATGGTGAGGACAATCGCAGGTGGGAGGTACGGTTTCAGAAGCGCAGATAAGTCGGGGCCCCATTGTCGGATGTTGTCAGCCGCTCGACGCTCGAGAGCGCGGTCGCGGGTATACGAAGGGATATCGATCTGCAGTCGCTGGAGGAGGGTAACGACGGCGTTCTTGGATACGGAACCGACCGAGATCGAAGATACATTGTGACCATGCGTCGGTTTGGAAGCCTGCGAGCTGATGGAGCGAGAAGTAGGCAGCACGGATGAAACTGTCATGATGTTACTGTCCTGCTCGAAAACGGCAAAATCCATTAGTGAGTCTGCACGTAGAGTATATTAACGGAGGCTCACCTCCCAGCCAAAGCTCGATGACTGAAGACAATATGCAATGCGTGCGCCGCGTCTTATATACACCACCCTAAGTATAGAAAGCCGTCAGGAATCCGGGAAGGCCACCAGAGTCATAGCCTTCAGGGTCAGAGCGTGCCCACCGAGAGTTGCTCGTTCACCTGATGCCACCAAGCTACTTCTGTGTCGTCTCAATTTCCCGCAGTGGACGCTAACAATCGTGCGGGGCGCTGCTATGGCAGAACCGATGCCCGCGTCGGTGATCAAAGAACCGAGCGCCACGCCCCGCACGGAGGCCCGCTGCGATCGGAATACAGTCTGCGTGTGAAGCCAATTCGCAAGCACGCGAAGGGGCCGAAGGGCTACTGACGAAAGGTAAACAAACTGCGACGGCGATGGCGACTCGCGACCTACCCGAGTATGGCCCTGACGGAGAGATTCATGTTCGTCCCATACCGGGCTTCTGTCTTCTTCCGATTACTGCGGACTGGGCTGTCCCCGACGCGAGCAATAGGGGTCGTCGGGTGCTCGGTCGTATGCGTCCTTCCGCGCAAGCAATGTCAGCCTGATAGCTTACCTTGCCTCTCGTGTATGTAGTGGTGATTGTGGAACCCAGTACTTAGACGAATACGATGCTAATCATCATGGGCAAAATACTGGTAGCGAGTGCATGCAACTAAGTAGTTGGACAGCCCATATGATAACCGAAGGTGCGCGACCCTTCAGATCGTAGACGAGAAGCTTAATGGTTACAACGGTGCCGGAGCCGAGAGTTGTTGGCAAATCTAGAGGGATTGCCAGCCTGAGTAGCCTAAGTACTAGACGGCTGGGCGGACCACAGCGTACACATAACAAATTTTGTGAACTGGACGAGTGATGTGGACGAGCAGGGACTTCCGTCGAGCACAGTGCATGGCGTCCATGACTAAAGAGCGGGCTTCGTGGCGTTGTGGCTCGTTGTGCCGCGGCCTTGGTGTGCAGTACTCGCATACGAAAATATATTGGACGCTACTGATAACATTTGATTTTCCGCTTACTAGTTCAAGTGCCGCTGATATTTCCTTGGCTACCAAATATACCAATCGTGAGCCTCTCATTCGAAGAACCAGTCCATAATGGTGACTTATTATTAGTGATAGCAATGTCCAGGCACCCCGGACCACCGCTGGTAACATTCTGTGGTACCCATGTCACAGCTTTCTTTCCCAGTTCTCAATGCCTGGGAATAGCAATGACATTTTGACGCAAAATCCGACAAGCACTTGTCAATTACAATGTAATGCAATGCTAAAATAAACACGCTCACGAGATTACTTTATCATTGCAATGGCATTTCAATGGCCGAAATGGCCGCCGCGGCATTGGATAGCATTGTTGGATAAGCCAAACGTTTCCAATGCAAAATAATCCTCAAAAGAAAGTTGGGACATTGCTTACAGTACTTACAGTACGGCATACTGCGGCTTGTCTGGGATGATGATCTCTGCATTTATCAACCGCAACAAGCAAACAAATCGTGCTAAGACGCGGCGAGCGCCGGTCTGTACAATAGTGGGTGTTTAAACGCGCCACCTAGGCCGACGCCCTCTTCGGGGCTCTGTGGGTGGTGGTGATGTTCTGAGGTGTACGTAGCAATGGTTGGGCATCGGTACTAGGGTCTGTGGGGTCTGTGGTGTGCGGTAAGGTAGTCGTTCGGACGGGTCGCATATCTTGGTGCATGAGTATGTACAGTAGAGGAAAAGATAGTAATGAAAGAGGGGCATGCGGCTTGTCTGGGAGAAGACCCAGGGTTCCGTACCGGTCACATGCATCCACACGAGAGCCTGATGCTAAAAGACGCTAGTCTCCACTGCTAACCAAAAGGACATAACTTACTCTCGTTTTTGGGAAAACGCTCGCCGGCTTTTTCGCTGACTCGGACGCTGGCGACTCGAACCGTATCGGACAACTGACACCTGGAGACAGCTGCATCATTCTAGCCTTCTCACTAGATACTGGGTTGCTTTGTTGGTCACATACTTCCTTGAATCTTGCGGTGTCATCTGCCCTGTAGAGACCGCCCGTCCGTCCAGATGACTATCTGACTTCTCAGGGTTTAACCCTCTACGCAGGTGTAAAGCAAGTCTTTGGAGACGCCGTTCTTCGATGTTTCAGCAGTGCACCATGTGCTTCTCAATGAAGGTCTGGCGCCAATGTCCGCTCGTCGCACCAGTGATTCAGCGGATATAAAATCTCAATTACCG